CTAGCAAGCTCATGCCTTGGGTGTTCACAGCACCCATCCAACAATATGTTGATGAGGTCATACACCTCCCCTTCTGTTCTGCTGACTATGCCACTGCTGCCATTTTAGCCTTGGTATGACTATGAGTTTTTAGCCTGCTTGCCGCCTGGAATTTCCAAGGGGGGATAATCCTATGGTTGTCCACTGCAGGTACAAGAGTACACTTTAAACTTATATTTTTTGGACATATTACCTAATGAACACCCCCCTTGGAAATTCCAGGCGGCAAGCAGGCTATGAGTTTTCAATGAACCCATTATTCAAGTGGCAATGTGCCCTGATGCACCCTACTATAAATATGTCTTTTCAGGGTTTGCTACACTGTCTTGCCAAGTTGGATTATTGTCACAATAGAATAACAATACCATTACCCTTACCCTAGATAACCCTAGGAACAAGTATTCCCCTAGGAACAAGTATTCCCCATTGGAATGAGGCAATGTTTTTACCAATCCATTATGTTTGCCCCATGCAATCTTTTCAGGTTTTTCACAAAAAGAGTGGTGAAATTGTATGGCTTATTATATGATAAAAGTTAACACCGGGTTGAGTGATCAGTACATAAAGTTATCATCATTTACAGGTCAAGTGAGCTCAGAAAGGAATATGATGCTCTAATGATAGAAAAAGCTGAGCATGAGAGAAGTATTGATAGAAAACAACAAAAAATTAAAAAGTTATTGGCAGATGTTAAGACTTTATACCAGGTAAGTCACTGGTTCAAATTTATTTACCAAATAAAGAAATTATTATAATAAAATTATTTTTCAAAATGCTTAACTCTCCTAATTGTTCATTATGCATACTAAATATCTTAATGAATTAAGACTGGAAACTTTTTTGTTTTTAGAAACTAGTTTTATTTGGTTGAATATTGTTTAGTGTAAGCATACTGTTGTCTGGAATGATTAGAATTCTGCCTCAATTCAGTCAATTGTATGAGAGAAGAAAGCTTTTAGTTTGACAAAAATTTCTCTGTGTTAGTTTGAGATAACCCTTACTTGGCCTCTGCAGAGAACAGTTTGACTCTGATGGAGCTGTCTAGTGAGAATAGCTAATTTAATGAAATACATAATATATTCCGGTTCCTAGACATGTGAGGAGGAAGAGGGGAAAGATGAGTTGATTGGGAGAGTAAACAAAGAAAACTGGGAACCTGAGGCTAAGGCATTTGAGCTATGGAGTTCTGCAGAAAACGTTGAAGAAATGCAAGGTACAGGCAATATATATAGTCAGCCTTCCTTAGCTAGAGAAGTTTGTGGTATTATTATTGTTGCAAGTGCAAATCACCTCTG